ATTTCAGACCCGACTTGTGCCCAGCGTGTACCGCATCCCCAGCACCACCCGATGGCAGAGTCCTTTGCAGGCGTATTTTTGAAACACACCAGTCTTTTCCTACAAGGTCTTTTGTTGTTCCCAGCGTCGAGGCTGGTATTTCACTGGTCGCACCGGCTCAAGACCCTTCAGGGAAGCAGCGTTGCCCATTACTGTTCCTGCCAAACAATCTTGTTACCTTCCTGCGAGCACCTTTATTTTCTGAGGTAGCCAAAAATGAAATGTGAACCTCAGAAAACCTCTTAATCATAAAAACACTGAAGAACTGTGTCTGTGGACTTGATGGGGGCTCCCATATGGATTCGTGGTCCTACAGCTGTGATCTTCTCACCGTTAATATTCTTTACTTGAAAGGTTTGCTCTGGTTTTGCTACGTTTTAGCTCATTATGAACTAACAACAGAAAAGGAAAAAAACCCAACAAAATTAAAGGAAAAAAGTAAAAAAAAAAAAGGCATAACTTGCTGTTATTTTCTAACATTCAGTGCTATTTGAACACATAAGAGCTGTATATAACACCTCCCAGAAATGATACGTGAGGCAAGTTGTGATTTTGTTCTATAGTTGTTTTTAGTGTACAATCTGCTACTCCCTATAAGTCCCTGGCATACGTCTAGCACATCCATGAAAGACAATCAAAGACAGCATGCCCATCAGTAAACCTAGATTATGTATAAAAAGCTTACAGCATTGCTGAGAATGTTTAGGGCTCTGCAAATCAAAGAAGTCTGGAGAAATCTGTATATTACAGATGTGTGAAGTCTCCATATTTATATTGTGTAGCTGTAAGTGCAACACAGTTTAGGTGTCACATGATTATAAATGGCAGTCCTGTTTCTTCCGCTCTTTTTTCTTGGGTTTTTTTTCCCCCTTAATACCTCTGTTTCCTGGAATCACTTTTGCTACTGGCAGCTCCTAAACTTGTATCTATGTTATGACTCCAGTATCCTTATGGCCTTCCTGCTGCAGGTTAGAGCATTTCTTTCTTTTGCTAATACTATGTTCCCATCCCAGAGGTGCTCATCTGAGATGTACATTTCTCAGCACACAGAGTAGTAGTATAGTAGTTCTTGGTGGCATCTGTGATAAATAGCTACAACCCCAAGGAGCCTTGATATGGAAAATTACAAAGTTTGTTGAGAACGTGGACCCTCCTTAGTTAGGCATTTGTTAGTGCAGGTGTGCACAGAGAATGTTAGATTCCCTGGATGCAGGTTTGCGTGTGACCATCCCTGACATTGCAGTCCAGCAAAATGCTGTGTGACTCCTGGGAGGCAGCAGGAACTGTCACGTTCAGGGAGCTCCTTGGCATCTAAGGCTTTTGCGCAGAGAGGCTCTAGACACTGCTGGTGATGGTATAAAGCAGCCATCTGTCATAAATAATTTCGTTGCTTGTATTTCAGTATGCATACAGAGAATTACCAGTTACTGCAATGCCTTTATTGGTTTTAACTTGATGTAGGTTTAGGGGAAAAAATGGAGGGGCTCAGGCTCTTGGTGTCCTGCTAAAGTTTCTGCTTTCTTAACATTCAAGTATCCATGCTATCCATGCTATCCATGCTTTCAGCTGAAGCTAACTAAAAGGATGTGGTAGGAATTTACCTGTTTTAGGAGGCAATAGATGTATCTACAACATTTACCTCGGTACTTTCTTTTCACAAAAACATATTGCTAGTGTGCTTGGGCTGTGGAGCAAGCCCAGCAGATGGGCTTGCTGACGCTGGGCAAGTGCAAGAGGTTTAACTTAAACTGTAGTATCTCAGGATGTATAGTGTGTATGTGAGGTCACTCAAAAAATTATGCATTGTTGCAGTTCTCCAAGTGTGTTTCCTTCACTTACAAAAATACCTAAAACAATTAGCTTTTCAGAATTGATTGGCTGTGCATATGCTGTATTATTTGGATACAGCTTATGTTTTGCTGCAGAAATAAAGTATCAGGACTCTGATAACTGTGGCAGTTTCTGAGCTCTTCTGAAAGACTGGCCAGTCATCCACAATCCACATGTCCAGTTGTTGACTTAGGTGCTAAATTTAAACTCTTCTTTTTTTGTTGTTTTGTTTTGCTTGTTTGGTGGGTTTTCTTTTTTTCCCCCTTTCCTCAGTATTAAATATCTGTTTATCCTTTTCAGCTTCCCATCACCAATGTTTCTGGGAATTGGACAGGTATGTTCAGAAGTAAAGCACACTAAATGTACTCATTGTTTTGTAAGTTAAACTAATGTTAGCGTAGAGATATATTTTAGGGGGGAAATCTCTGTTATGCTGCACTGCTCATCTTCTGGAAGAGTGATTTGTTTTAGTGAGATCAAGGAAATTTCAGCTCAAGTCAAAACTATTGCCTGGGAAGAATTAGTCCACATAAAGGACCGGAAATGCGGTTTATTTCCCCTGATAGAGTTCAGTAATTAAGAGATCTGGCCTTCAAAACTGCCAAGATTTGTTCTAATGAATGCACAGATCCTATGAGAGTTCTTGAGCATTTGTGGATTATATGCAGTGACATTGCCTCTATTCATAGACAAACCATGTATTTCCTCATAAGTCTCTTCCCCTTTCCCAGCAGTTGTCCAGTAGGACTTCCACACAGTTTTGGTTCTTTGTTGCCTTATTTGCCTGTGGGCAATTTGCAGTACTGCAGCAGAAATATTTTTGTTGTTGTTGTTTTTGTTGTTAGTAGACATCATAATAAACCAAAGTTCAAATGTTTGTGTACATGGTTCATAAAGAAGAACATTTGACTCTGCAGAGGGATGGCTGGGAAAGATGGAGCCTTGAAGCAAGTGTTGTTTAGGCAAATACATTTAAAAGAGAGGATTTATTTTCTGCCAAGGTTACAAGCTAAGGGGTAGTGAGGATAGAGGTGAAAACAGGGTACTGCAGGTCTGATATCTGCTCTTTGGTGCTAAAGAGAGTAAAATGCCTTGTAAAATCTTTGCTGTATGAGAGGGGGAGAGAAGGAGAGTTTCACACATCCAGACTGCTCAAGGAACCACATGTCATGTTTCAGTGGAAGCCAAAGACTAGAAAATGTGGCACTACTTTATGTTAAGGGCAATGATATGTCCTTGTTTCTTTGCAGAACCTAAGACTCAGTGGCATTTCCATTTTTGGTTGACTAATCCTTCCAAGATTTCCCTGAATGGTTTGTAAAGTGCATATAATATGTTATAATGCTTTAGTCTGTAGAACATGGCTCCACCCCATTTTCTAGACAGACAATTAATGGATTTTTATATAAGGAAAATTTAATGTGGTTTTTTCCTTCCTCTGGCCAGCATTAACTCTTATGCTGTGTGACTGCTCAGATACTCTCTTTCATTCTGTCCGTATCTTTATTATTCATCCCTCATGTTGTCAACAGACTGATCAATGCACAACTCCCGCCTCACATGACCAAAAAAGCTGTAGGAGTGATTCTGCAGACTAAACAACTCTCTGAGTGAAAATAGCATGATTATTCCAGGATTGTCTCCTGTTTTATTTTCTCAGCTCCTTCTCAGCATGCATTGTTTCACAGAGTGCCACTAATTTTCTCAAGCCAGTAAAACATATGTCTATATTGTCCTTTTAAATAAATAGCAGGCAAAATTGTTAAGAATAAAGTTATTCCAGTTTATTCACTGCGTGCTGTGTTGTTCTTTGGAAAAAATAAGTAATACCTGGCATTTGTCAAATGCATATAAAGATTTTGTCTTTGAAGCAGTTCTTTCACTTATACATTACAATTTTGCTCTTACATGACTTCTTATTTTTTTCTTTTTGTTTAGATGGCAGCCACTATTCTTATCTTGTATGTGTCAAAATTAAATAAGATTGTTCACTTCCCTGATTTTGACAAAAGTATACCTGTGAAGGTAAGGATTGATATTAATAAGAAAATGTTACCTCTTGTAATGGCATTCTTTCTTATGGAGACTAGATATAAAAGAAGAACAGAAAACAATTTTGCATTTGTTTGTCAAATATGTTTATTTGTATCTTTGTTTCATTTAGTATTGAATTTGATCATTTTAATTTCACTGCAGTATTCTTGCCTTTCATTTGCAGAGAAATCTTGTGCCATTTGGTTATGCAATGCATGGGAAAGCGTGCTGTACCTTCATACAGCTGGATGAACTCTTTCAGATTCGTGAAGTATTTTTGTGGGTGTATACAGCTCTCTGCAGGATCAATGGGAGATCTGTGTTTAACAAAGAATTTTGTAACAGCATGAAAAGCTGTTTGGAAATTTGAATGGGACATGTGATAAAACAATAGAAAAAGAGTATGTGATAGACCAAAAACCCGAACAACAGTTGATTCCAAATGTAAGATTTATGTTCCATAGAAGAGGCTAAAATAATGCCCACCAATGATACAGTAGGTAGGGGCTAGCTGTATCGTGCAGACCTAAAGTGTGTATGGTCTAAAGAGGCAGGATAGAGAGAATATGAGAGGATCTTTCATTATCTCACATTGGGAACTAGGATCTGAAATTACTGTAGCAATGATCCTCATAGATTTTTGCATCCACGTGCAGCGTTGCTGGAGCTTTACTTTGATGCATAACCATATTTATGTCTTGATGCAAGGTATTGGTCAGTGTTTGCTGAGAGACAAGGAGAGTTAGCTCCCAGCTCTGATGCAGAGCTCAGATACAGCGTTTGAGGCCAACATCTTCATTGCAGAACCTTGTCCTACTGTCAGTATGAGTTTTAGTGTGAATGACTCGCAGCCATTGGTGAATACTGTATTTTCTTAATGCATGCTGAAATCATTGGCATTTCTGCATGTAGAAATCTTGTAGGAATACCTATAGCATCGATTATAAAATGGACAATCATTTTTTCAAAAAAATGAATGAAGAAGTTTTCCCAGTGGGTACTTCTGAGTTTGGCATATAAACAACTTGTTGAGACCTGAAGAGGTTTCTTCCCTCTGCACCCCTCCAGTCCCACTACTATCTCTCCTTGCTGTGGCCTTCACTTTAAAATCAGTACAAGGGCATTGAAAAATACAGCACCCATTTTCTTTGTCCTAATAATATCTATCTCTGGAAGACTTTCCAGGATATGCTGGGAACAGTCAGCACTGCAGCGTTCAGGACTTGCATATTGCTTGTAGTGCTGAATTTGACTAGTCACAGTGAATCAGCTGGATTGCTCATTATTGATTTCTTTACTTTGTAAAGCACCTTTTGACTGACTCTTTATCCTTTTGACAACTTTTGCTTTCATTGACACTAAGGTTATCGTTGCTTTTCACTCCCAGACTGGTTTATGTCCTCAGTGCTTTCAGCTAGAGTTTTAAAGTAGCGAAGTGCTTATTTTCGTGAGGAAGCTTTGGAGTTCTTGACCCTTTTTAAGTAAATGTTTCATTGATCTCTGATGTTGTGCTGGATGTTGTGATTTTGCCTTTACAATAGATGAAGTTCATAGGAAAGAGAACGTAATGTCAGCTTTGTTTTCATGCTATGAATTAAGATAGTTTTCTAAATAAAAATCTGTAGAAGAGAGCATACTACAAAATTTTTGCAAGCTTATGTTGACAGGCTGAATATTTATTGTTACTTATACTCCTCTTACTTTATACTCTGGTTTACTTTTACTGTTACCTTCACTTAAATATTAACTATAGGTAACTTTTACTGTACTTTTCTCTCCTCTTTGCTGTAAAAGAAAGGCAGAATTTTTAACATTGATAAAATGCAGCTCATTCCTCTGTATGGTTTTCCTCACACAATGCTTTGAGAAGACATAGCCTCTAACAAATACAGTGTCTCCTGAAGCATGTATCGGCACAACGGCAGCAGCTATTACACATGTTAGGATAGAGGATCTGTTTTGTCTTTCTGCCATTTCAGCTCCGCTTGACTGATAGTGAATGGGACTAGATATACACCCCAGCTTTGTCCCCAGTGATTACTTTGGCTAATCTTCTGCAACTTTTCTGTAGTGAGAGAATAACAACTTTGAACTGCAGCTGAATATTGTGTAGCGATTGCTGACTTCTGGTACATTTTCTTAAGGCTCTGAAGTTCTGTTATTGCTTCTCTGTATTGTGTTAGGGCCCATATGTTTCTGTGGGAATCAGTCTTATTATGCTAGAAGCTGGAAATGGTAAAGTTTAATTTACCCCTAAATACTTATCTTTCCTTTCTAGTATCTCGCGTAGCATAATTTGTTAGGTAGATCTAAAATGTTGTGTCTACCAGGCATACTAATATATGTGGAGTACCTAGAAAAGCATAGCATACTTAGAGCTTATTCATTCTTTTATTCCACCTGTTCTCTTGTTTATTTAGTTACTGTTACTAATATTACTCTTATACCTAAAATTCAAATGTTAGAATGAGTATTAATCTGAGGATTATAGTAATTAAAATAAAATTGATTAACATGTACACTGAGTGGAGTCTGAGCCTCATTAGAGGTAGATTGTGACTCTTCTAATGAAATCAGTGAAGCTGTGGTCATGAATGGTCACATGAATGAGAGCTGCAGATCAGTTTGCAGCATAGTTACATTTTTTTCCTTAAAAAAGCCCTCTTGCTAAAAGTACATCTGATATTACAGTTATCAAATTCTATGAAATAATGTTTCTCAACAGTACTTCAAAACATAGTAATCTGAGTTGTGCTTTTAATTTTATCACAGTTGTTTCCTCTGCCTCTGATTTATGTTGGAAACCACATAAGTGGATTATCAAGTACCAGCAAACTCAGGTATAGTAAATGAAAGTTATAAGTAGACTGTTTGGATTTTACCCTTTTCTTTTGTGGGGGTAAGAAAAAACCTAAAAAAAAAAAAAGCATTGTGTAGGGACTTAAATGCATATGATGTTTGTCTGTCTGTCTAAACCACTGATACTATTATGAAACTCTTACACATTTGATCTGCTTACAAGTTGTCTGCTTCTTTTAAGGGGGGCTTAGCTGGGCCTGTACTGACAGAAAATCACAATACTCCTCGTGACAATGAAAGTGCTTTCACTTTTTCCTCATACCCAAGCATCCAGCTTTCCCTTGGTGTCCTAATCAGAGAGTTTGAAAGCTCTAAGACATTTTTGAAGGAAGAAGAATATAGGAAACTTTTGTACCATGATGTCCGTGCAGATTATTGAGGACACACCAAGACATGGAAAAACTACTGTGTAGTGGGGTGGTGGTGGCAGTGTAGCCCTGCTGAGGACCAAGAGCAGGTTGTGGAGAGATTGCTAAATGGCTCGCTGGCTCCTGTGTGAGGATACAGCACTACAGTTGTGGTGGTTTCTTGTATGTTATTATAGGCTCCTGAGGATTTCATAGTAAGCTAAACCAAAACACAGAATCATGCAGGTTTTCAGCATTTCATAGCTTTGAAATATTAAGTACCTGATTCTGCAACTCGTCATTGTACACATTCAGAAGTTGTTCCACTGATGTGACTGCTCAGGCAGACATAAGGACGTAAGCAGTACTGTCCCTAGTAGCACTTCAGCCAATGTGAATATGGAAGTAGTTTCAATCCTGTAAAAGTTTGGGTCATGGGTCCTTCTTTCCACTGTTCCCCTAACTGTAATTTTAAAATAAAAAGTTTATTAGATTATTTTAAACATAAGTCCCTCTATGACTGACATACTTCTTTTGGATTTACTATTCATAACTGATTTTTATAACAGAAACGTAAGAATGGCGGTAGTGGTTCTACCATTAACTTTTTGTTACATTGTGTTTTGTTACAGTAGCTGACATTTGTTTACATTATGGAATTTGCCACCTTGTTTGGGTTGTCTGTAGGGTGTAGATGATCCTATGCATAACTTCAAAACATCTGTTGTAAAGTGATTAAACTCTGTGTTAGGATTTGTATCATTTATTAATGCAGTTGCTAATAGTTATCTTAAACAGAGGATTGATTGGTCCATATGGCCATGCTGTCAGATTTCCAAAGTGTCAGATGCAAGTGTTTTCTCAAATTAATGAAAAAGGTTTCCAACTGCATCACTTTGTGTAGACCAACAATAAGTTGTTCAAAAGTAGCTGTTTGTTTGATAGTTGCAGCTCGTCCCACCTTTGATGTTTCTTGTACTTTCTCTGGTTTTTTTCTTGTGGATTTATAAGTACAGCTTGTTTACTAAGCATGTTTGATTTGTATTTTATTTCTGTTACATCTTTTCAGAGACAGGTTTATTGTATGTCCTTTAAGTGTACAGCAGAAATCATTTTTACTTACCCTGCCCATGAATTCTACAGGAAGAATTATTTCATAGGGGCTATGCTGGGTAGAAAATAGCTTTTATATTTAATTTCACTGGTGCAGAGGGGCCTTTTAGAAGATAGACAGTTGCCTTGTGTCACAGACTGGCAAATCTTGTTATTTTTCAATGATTTGGTTATCTAATCTGCCTCTAGTGTCAGCCTGACATTTTTCTTAAGTATGCTAAGTGGCTGGGAATTTGTTTTGGTTGCTTGTTGCTGGTCTAATCGTTTTATCCTCTACTTATTAAAATTAGATAAGAATTAGAACATAAAAATGCTATTAATCTGATGCTGTGCTTGGATTTTCATTTTTTTTTGACAGTTTGCCGATGTTTACAGTGCTCAGGAAGTTTACCATTCCACTTACTTTACTGCTGGAAAACATCATACTTGGGTGATCCTTTTTTTTTCCATTTAAGATACCTTTATTTTAGTTCATATCAAATGGATTACTTGTGGCATCTCATCAGAATATTGAATGAGTGCTTTTTACTGAGAAATAGAGAAAACCAAAGAAAGTGGTTTTATGTAGCCTTTTTTGAAGACATGCACTTTAGTGAATAGAGGAAAACAAAAATTCAGCTTGCTCTCATTTACACAGCTCATTCTCTTGACTGTTGCACAGGAATAAGGAAAGCAGAGCATGACTCGGATGCTTCTTTTAGCAATTGTGGTTTGTGTCTCATCTCAGAGGCCCCTAAGCTGCAGTCTGCTTCAAACAGATCCTTATGTCTCAAAACAGTGATGATAGTATGGCAGTCTGCTTATGTAGAGTAGCTTTCTGGGTCAAGTCTAAAAACATACCAGTTTAATGAAGCAAAGCAGTATCAGGCAGTGTGCTGTTAGATCAGAAAACTCCTCAGTTATAGATACATCAGTTATTTTTAATGAGAAATTAAGAAGTGTATGCCGTTACAGCTTGGGATCACTAGTTTCAGTTGTACTGATTTGGAAGAACAGGAATATAGCCACATCATACTTTGTCACCGTCATTTCTATCCACATGGCTTGTGCTTGGATAAGGCGGGGTCACCAGGGGAAAAGAAGCTTGCTGAGGCTGAACCCAGGCAACATGAGAGCGGTGGTCAGGGGAAAAGCTTTTAAAAAAGCCTTCAAGTAGATTGGCATCTCCTTTTGGCTGAAGCAAGAGTTGATCAATGTGATTCATATTTGGGGATGCTCCAGGATTCTTTTCTAGTTGTAAGTTTCCAGGGAAAGCAGAACTTGCTGTCTACTCCTGTTGGCCTGAGGCCTTCCACAAGCAAGTGAGGAAAGTGTGAGTCAGTGAGATTGTCATCAGTTCTCAGCTGAACTACAGCAATGTGGTGTATAAGTGCAAGCAACATCCAAACCTAAGGGAAGTATAAGAGCAGAATGCTGTATTCATACAGACTACTGCAGTGTATTGCCTTGGGGCTGAAAATGAAAGGACTCCAGAGAGTTTATGCTGGCTTACCTCAGGATTTGAAAAGTAGTCAATGTTTGCGTTGTTACTGTTGAGATTCGTTATGATCAAAGCCTAATATATCTAGAGACTGCATACAGCTTTGTTGTGACAGTGGTCCACATCTGTGCTCCTTTGACACACAGGATTTCTCCGAGAGCATGGTACCTTTTATTTTGATGGATCTTTTTCTCACAGGCCAGCTCAGAGCTAGGGGCTGGCCTGAGAGAATGACTAGGGGAATGTCTGTAAGTCATTGCAGTATGGTGCAAAAATACTTAAGATACTTCTAAATAAAGTAATACAGGTATAAGAAGCAGGATAGTTTTTATGGTATGCTTTTCCCTACTCTGTGGCAGTGCTGATGTAGACATACTGAAGAATATAATAAGCTTCTGTGCTTTCTCCTCCAAGTACAAGGTTTCAGTTTGACTTCAAAATAGGTATCTATATGAAAAATAGCCTTGATAAGGTGCTGTACAGCATTTGCTCCAAGAAAGGTGAGATGAAAAACTACATGAGAGATGTGTAGTGATTTTCCTTTATTGGATTACTGGAAAACACTGAAATATGTCCATTATGAGTACCAGTACACAGTAAATTACGGTTTGTTCCAGCACTGTTACTTTAAACCGTTAATCTTTACTCTTAAAATTATCTAGTAGCAGAATGCTCCCAAGGCTTTTTCAATCTCTGTTCTCAGGGCCAAAGTCTGACAGCATGGCATGTAGTCAGTCACATTGCTTCTGCAAGGTTATGAAGATTGTGCCCTCCTGTTAAATGTTTTGTGATTACTAATTGCTTTGAAACTTTTCAGGCAAACAGGCATTTAATCTCCTCTTCAAATAATGAAAATGTGAACTGTCTAATTTTTGTCTACAGGAAACGATACCCACTGAGTATTGTAGTCAGTGTATTTGCCATCATTCTTGGGGCTTTCATAGCAGCTGGGTAAGGTTTTCATTTGTTATACAAAGTCATGTTATGTGAGGAGGGACAACAGGAGGATTTTCTTCGTTGTTAAGTGCCAAGTAAACCTAAGTTGACAACAGTTACTCTGAATTAAGTTGATTGGGAAACTCTCTCTTGCTGACATCATTGGGAGGTGCAGGCATACAAAAGGAAAAATTTAACTCCAGCTGGAAGTATCTGGGTGCTTCTTTTTTTCACCATGGGTTTTCCATGTTTGAAGGATCATAAATAAAGCAAGTTAAAGCTGTGTGAGGAATGTTGCTTTTATTTCATAGTATCACTGTATTTTAATAATCCTAGAAAAGTATATTCTTGTTCTGGGTAGAAAGACTGATCTTTTGGTTGTCAAATACTGTTTTGAGTTAGGCAGCGTCTAATTTTTTAATCACTTTTAGCAAGTTCAAACTTTTAGCAAGTTCAAATGTGAGATTAAGTTCACAAAGCACTCATATGTTAGTCTCCTGGTTTTTTCTGTTTGAATATTCCTTTAGTTAACTAGATACGTAATGTTTTGTTTCCTGACTTTGCTATGTACAAAGGTAAATAATTTCCATTTGATGTGACTCGGATAGAACCGTGTCCTATTAAGTGGATTACCCTATATCCATGAGGTAACTAGTCAAAACAGAAAGGATGATAATATGTCTGGTCTGACTGTAAAAAACAAGTAGTCATACTTTATTCCCTAGCTGCTTTTTGTGTTAAAAGAAATAGATAAGTATACTCAGTAGTAATTGTACAGATTGTCAGGATTGAGACAAGATGGAATTTTTCACAGAATGAAAACTGAACATTTCTTGCCACTTCCGCACTGAGTTCTGGGAACTCTGACGACTTATTTGTGAGGGTCCTGTGACTGGAGGCATGTAAAGCACCTTGACTTATAAGGAAGGCTTAGAGCAGAACCTGTGACTTTCTGGAGTTCTCAGGATTTGCATTTCCTCATTTATGATACTTCACTAGGTAAACAAGGTAGTGCAATGCATTGTATGCCGTTTGCTTATTTGCAGTGTAATTTTTCTTTCCCAGGTCTGATCTGTCTTTTAATCTGGAGGGCTACATGTTTGTGCTGCTAAATGATATCTTCACAGCAGCAAATGGAGTTTACACAAAGCAGAAAATCAATCCAAAGGTAACTGTGGGGTGATCAGGTTGAATTTAACATTATGAAAATATGGTAGGAGTGGGTTACTTATTATATCACTTTATGAACATACAGTTATGAACTAATAAATAGTTTCATTTGCTTTCATATATCAGTTGATATATACATCCTTAATACAGAACACGCTGGGAAAAACTTGTTATTAGTATCTCAGGCCAGGCTTAGATAAACAGTGTATTTTATTTTTTCTGAAGCCTTTTAGGCAGAGTTTGTAGTGGCTTTAAAATGTTGGTTTTGGCTAAAAAATAAATCCAAACCAAAAGCAAATTGCTTACCTGTAAACTTGGTATATATGTCTAAGGGAGATGATTTTTTTACTAGAAACACACTTTAAGTGACGTACATGTAAAATAAACTTGTGGGTAGGAACAGAGACCTGACCACATTGAGTCAGTAACAATAACAACTTTTTTGGCTATCTGAAAGCAGGCCTACGAACCCATACGAACCCATGTATGCCAAAGAATTAGGCCATACCTTGATACATTATACTTTGTGTAAACATTGAGCAGGCTACTCTTCAAATACAGTGCCATGAAAACATACCAAGCTGTACCGAAGAGCAGTCTTGGATGAGGTTTTGTCACTGACTTTTGTGAATCAGTCTGTACAGTGGAAATAGGTATCTTTTAATAATCTCAGGAGTCACATCAAATCCAGACTCCATATTTTTCTTTATGAGCAGCACTTAATGGCCTCACAAGTTTCTGCAAAATACAGGGTTTAATTTTAAAGCAAGAGATAAGCTGGAGAGATTTGTTACGTAGTATGGCCGAATCTGGAGGAAGGGAACGCTGTTTTTCATTCCCCTAATCTTCTGTCTTTGTGTCAAGCAAGTTAACCAACAGGATATATGGCATCCCTCAAGTTGCTTGATGTTACATCAGTTACCAGTGATTACAGATGCTCCATCTAGGATTCAGGCTTAATTTTCCTGCTATGCTGGCCCCAGAGAGCCAGCCTGCCCTATGCTTTTGTGGTTGATTTGCGGTAGATGGAATGGGTAATCTCTTGGCCAGGCAGAGACTTATCTGCAGTCTAACACGGAGCGGTTCTGGACCAGTGCCTTGGGAAGTTTCTGACTAGCTGGTGTTGTATAGAAACTTTTCAAGTTATAGCAGAGCAGTAATATTCTGCTGAACGTACAAAGTCACTGAAATGGAAACTCAGCTCAGTGCTAAACACTGAATCCAATGATCGCAAGCTTGTATTTTAAATTGAAGTGTATTACGTTTTGTCTGCTCATTGACAATAATGTCAGAAGGATTGCCAGAGTAATACTTCGTAGTTTGCTTCCAGGTGGCTTGTAATTCCAAATACCATGTTTCATTTTTCACAGGAGTTGGGAAAATACGGTGTCCTTTTCTATAATGCTTGTTTCATGGTGGTTCCAACAGTTATTATTAGCTTTTCTACTGGAGACTTTCAGCAGGTAAGGAGCAGTATTCCATATGTCAGACTGATAACAGTATTTTGTTCTGTTTTTTCAGTTGGGGGTGTGGGTGGGGTTTTTAGTTTGTTTTTTTTTTTTAAAGAGGTAATCCTACCTCCATGTTAGTGACTACTGTTTGAAATGTGTGACTTGGACTTCCCTTCACAGGTAAGAACTTGTAATTATTCACTCTGAGGAGAAGCTGAAGCTGTGTGATATCCCTTATATGAGTCTTCGTTTAAAAAATAGTGTATGACTGGGGACTGTAAGCTAGAGCAAGTGGTTGGGAATCCAGCTGCACTGTGTGATTTGCCACATGCTCTAAAATGAGATTGCAAATACCAAAAACAATTTCCAGTCCTTTTCTCATTCTGATGCACAGAACAGATTCCTGTTTAGTCTCAGTCTAGTTTAGTAACCTACATTTTACATTCTACTAGAACAACAGCATGACTCTCCATTGCGAATTGTAATACAGTATAATACTGTAGGCAGTATGTCCTGGTATGTAAAGTTTCAAACCAGGAGATTTGTGTTGTTTTTCTGGCTCCCTCGCAGGCTTGCTGAGTTGCCTTTTTCTTACCAATAAAATGAGTCTAGAGACTCATATTCCCTTTTCAAAATACTTGAGATTAGCCACTGAAAATCGTTACAGAGCATGCGGGTGTCATAAATCATTCCAGTGTCCTTTGTTGTATGTTGTTGTGCCCTGGACACACATGATTTTGTCATCGTATTCTTACAAGTCTGCTTTAAGTGGGAAAATTGTCATTCCCTGAAAAATAATGGCTTTAGATCTGCTCTGAGTGTGAAATCTCTTCTTGTGATGTCAGTCCAGAATGACCTTGTGCCAGTTTAGGAGAATGCAGCTGATGCCCTTCTTGGCAGACTTGGTGGGGGCTGAGTTTGTATGGCTGTAAGCCTTCAACTGCTTTCCCAACAATCATGGCTGGAGTAATTTTGGAAGAACTGGACAGCAAAATTTACCTTGTTGCTAGATTTAGTCCACGGGAATAATAAAGAGTGTGTTGTGCCCACGTGTTGATTTGGCACAAACAATTTAATGCTCAATTACCTGGAAAAAAAAATCAGAGAAAAGAATGGTGCCTATTGTGCATATGCACTGGCTTGGTCGCTTAATATTAAAAGTCGGATTAAATGATGTGGATAACTAGTGTCAACATGATGCATAGAGACTAAATCACAGAAGAAAGGTAGAAAATCGAAAAATACTGATGAAAAGTCAACAGATCATTGTAGATAACACCTGTATTTAGCAGATTTTCAGGCCATAGAAGTTGGCTTGCTTTTACCTTAGTAGAGTTTTTTGCCTTGATCCATCACAGACAATGCACAGCAAGTACCTTTTGCCAGTCAAGATACCAGTACCCTGTCTATGTGATAGGGAGAGTGCTTCTGCTTCTCTAGCTCTTTCTGAAGCGGTAGCTACCACATCTTGCAGAGTCTGCAGTGTGTGAGTGTCCCAGTTATTCACTTCTTCACCAGCTGGCTGACCAGGAGGATAGGAAAGCATGATGCAATGGAAGAGAAACGAAGCCCCAGAATGCCTCTTTGTAATACTTTGCAATTTGTTGTTGCACACCAGCACAATTCTGGCAGGGCAGAGCTGCTGGAGATCCCTCTAATCTATTACCTCAGGTGCTGGAGGCTCAGCTAGCCACAGCATAGACCAACAGCCTTTCCCAGGGATGTGTTCAGCCTTTGCCGAGTTTTGTGCTGATACAGGTGACTTCAAACTAACTAGATTAAAATGAGGCATATCCTGGAGTTACTAGAGATGGAAGAGAGTCTGTGACATGTTTCTTAGTGACTGTTGTGTGGCACTGTCTTTCTTTGCTGCATGTCAGGAGCAGACATCAAAGTGACGATATAGCCTTTTCATTGACCTTCATTGATGAGAGGCCTTAGTAATGCTTATTTAATCTATTAGCTCAAAAATGCAGGCTTGGACCCTCAGAGGTGTTCATGAATGAACCTATGGTATGAAATAGGTTTCAAGGACATTATTTATTTATTTTTCTCTCTGATATCAACACTATTTATTATATAATATTAATCACAGTGTTAGTATCTGTATCAATAAATACAAGGATACAGGTTCTCTGTATTGTATTTGTATTCATTGCTTGCAGTGTGCAGGTTTATATCTGTACTGCTGTATGTTACAAGAATGTATCTAGGTATCATGGGTGCTGTCGTCCTGTTGTCTCTGAAGGTAAATGCATCAAACTGTTTCCAGTAGTAATATAAACGTTTTGTAGTTGTAATATGAATCAAATATATTTGTGATTTTGCACATTTTCATATTAACTATATTTTATATGTGTTTACAGTTGATTATATAGCACATATTTCTTAATCTCTCTCTTTTTTTTTTTAATAGGCAACTCATTTCCAGCACTGGACAAATTTTTTATTTGTCTTTCAATTTCTTCTTTCCTGCTTATTGGGGTAAGGACACAGGGCAATCAAGTAAGACATTTTAATGGCAGTGTTTCAAACTGCAAATCTGCAATGTAAGACTCACTAGTAAGTTATGTTAAAATTCAAAGAAAATATCTTTTTCCCCCAGGCTTCTGTCCTGTCTTTTAATTATTCCTAGTAGTGTAAATAACTGTTTCAGTATTATCTATGGTGTTGACTTTATAAGGTACTGTGGTCAACAACATGACATTTAGCTTTTTACTTTCTGTACTCAGTATCTCTCTGCTGGCCGTCTCTTCTGATTCTCTGACTTCTTTGCAGTTAATAGAATGTAAGCCCTTTAGTATAGGAACTGTTCCACTGTGTTTGTTCTTTACTTGGAAAAGTATGGGAGACTCAAAACGTAATGAAACAATGCTTTGTTCCTGTTGGAACTGCAGAGTCAAAGCAAGAATAAAAAAGTGAGTTGGATCCTGTTTTGCTCTTTCAGACGTCACCCAGCAAGGGGTCAAACTAACTTCAAGTATTGACATTTAAGAAGCACAGAAAATAGGGATGACTCTGCTAGAGCTCAAGCAGCACATTTTAATGTGTATTTTGAGTACTCTGTATATGCACATCATTAACTTAAAATACAGATCCACAGAATCTTTTTTTCTAGGATTTGGAACAGGTGGGATTGAAGATCCCAGCAAAATACTGATCCAGAGAATGTTGAACATTTCAAAGTGTTGCTAAACTTCTGACCTTTCAGGAAGGAATTTATAAAATTTTCTCCTTTGCTTTATTTAGGTTTCTCTTGATGTATTCTACTGTCCTATGCAGTCATTACAATTCTGCGCTTACAACAGCAGTAGTTGGTGCCATCAAGGTGAGTTATGGAGAAGAGGGAGATGAAAATGCTCAAATAGACAGGGAATAGCATTGACTCAGCAGTGATCCTGATTATGCTTTAAGCTGGAAACTCAAAATGAGGGCTAATACTGAGACACTGCTTGTGCCATACATTTTGGAGATCCACACAAAAAAGTGACCTTGTTTTCTTCCACTGAAGCAGTGAAAAAGAAAGCAGTGAGTATTAATTTATTTTTCTTCTTCCTACATGAGAAATCTCAACCACTTTTAATTAAAACATGTACATTTAGCCACATTTCATCAGGTACTGTCACCTGCTTCTGTTCCTCATCAAGTTACTGTGAGTTGGTCAAGGTAGCCTGGTGCAAATCCATTGCAAACTGATACAGACTAACCCACTTTCGCTTTGGGCTGAACTAGTTTCTGTTGCTGCTAATAGATAGGGCATTCATAGATACAGAATAATGTTTACTACTTTATGGTTAACTGCGTCTGTCTCTGTGTGACAACTTGTATTCTAGCTGAATGGACTATTTGATTTTGGTTTATATAAATTCTGGTCAATCTGATGAACACCAGAACATGCCTGTCTTAAAACTGAACTTGGTGTCCTTACAGTCTGTTTTCTCTAACCCAGTTTAATTTAAAACCAGTGCAGCTTCCTTTGTGTTGAGAAGGCCAGCATGTCTGAGCTGGGAAGATCACTGACTGCACAGCACCTTTTTGTAGGCCAGTTTGGAGAGTAGCACAGAGCTGTAAGCTGGAAGAGTTTTAGCAAAAGATAAAACTCGTGCAGTTGTGGGCCAAACAACTATCAGAATCCAGACTAGCTTAGGCACAGGAGTAACAGTCCTCTGGGTGCTCCCTTTCATGGGTGATGAAGGAAAACAATACCTCCAGCGTAGCAAAATCTGCAAAAAGAAGATGGTACTTCTCTTTATACAGTTCTGTTTGTTTTTGAAAGCTGGCAAGATTAATCTAGTAGTTTTCATTCTGTGGTCCTGAAAGCGTTCTTTTAAATTTTATATGTCTGCATTGAACCATTAAGATAGATAGAAACACTATTTCTATTTTCTGAGTAATAATTAGTCTTCAAGATATTTTGAACAGCTTTAAAGTTGAGAAGCACTTTATGATGCAGTAGTCCCCAGTAGAAATTGGTAGAAATGATGTCATTGTCCAGGCTAACTGCTAAAACATTTGAAACCAACAAAGTGTTGGTAAAATGATCACACAGTTCTATAGCTTTCCTTCTGTCTATAGGGGACAATTTTCCCAAAACTTGATGGGGGCAGGGTGAGGGGTAGAATCTTTAAACGGTGCCTGCCTTGAACTTGAGCCAAGTGCTTTCAGTGCACATTTAGTTGGCAAAGTAGGGAGGTAAGCCTTTTAAAGCGATAGTAAAGAGCTTTTATTGTAACTTTAAAGCATAATTTTTATGCTTGAGAACCCAAAACCTGCTTTTAAGAAACAGGATTTGAAATGAGCCTTCCAAAGATTAAAAAGAAGTACATTTTCAGAATGTGGCCATAGCTCCATTTTGCCTAACATCAAATAGCTAATTTTCTTTTTTTTTTCTTTTTTTCCTTTTTCTTTTTTCTTTTTTCTTTTTTCTTTTTTTCCCCCAGAAAATCACTCTCAGTGCATTGCATTCATTTAGAAAACATACTGATTTTATTATTCTGTTTCACTGTTACATTACCCGTAAGGCTGACATCCCATGAAACTAATTTAAACACTGATTTTAGAGTGGCCAGCAGCAGAGTATAGCTACTTCCTTAGAAAAGTAAATTAATTCATATCATTTATATTCTTGGAGATTAAAACTGACTTCAGTAAATGCATGGCTTTTGTTTCCTTTCAGAATATATCCATTGCTTACATCGGAATGTTGATTGGTCGAGATTACATATTCTCCATGTTAAACTTTATAGGGCTAAATATTTGGTGAGTGGAACTTGAATAGCTTTTATTTGTTAAAGCTGAAGATTTCTCAGTGAGATACAGTTTTATTGTTTGTTTGATTTGTCCCACTTGGGTGATGCAGTTTTGAAACTACTGGCCTGAGGACGCACTGCCTCAGGATGTAGAGTTCATTACAATTAGTTATGTCTTTTCATGTCTGTTTTCAGATACTGAATCTTACTATGGTAAGATCTTAACTATGGAAACATGCCTGCGGTTTTACTATGTGGGGTTGAATTAGGGTTTTGGTTTTTTTTATGAGCAGCAGTTCTGAGCTGCAAGGCTTCCCAGTAAAAGCCAAGTGGTGTGGGAAGTGAGAACACTAACTGACTGAGTTTTGCCTGTTGAATATGAGTTATGACTTGTGAGTTGTTACTTTTTGTGTTTGGGTGAACTGTTACATCTGTTCGTATGAATCTGTTGGAGCAACTGATAATTCATCTTTGTCTACTTGGGGTTCGTTTCTCAGATGGCTTACATAGCTCTGAGGTACTCGTAATTTATGCTAGCTGGCATTCTTTAATGCTTTGGAAGGAAAGGTACATACCTATAAAATGGTACATACAGCATCAGGTATCTCTGACACCTCTGTTCATTCTCTTTTCTTTAGTATGGCAGGAGGACTGAGGTACTCATTTTTAACCTTAAGAGGAAACAGCAAGCCTACGCAACCAGGGGATGAAGAGAATGCACTTCCTGAGTCAAAGAGTTAGCCGAAATGCCTGCGTTGAAAGAGACTGAAGATAAAACTTTGTTCAGCATTGCTGAGAAGTTAAATAAGTATATGCTGGAACGTATTTGGAACAAGAAAAAAAAAATCTACCTCAGTTGCCATAGATGTGCACACAGCTCATTGATTCAGAAATATTCTTGCACACCATGTTTTTTACATGTGGACAAATTTAATTTTAGCTTTTTTTTTAACACCACAAGCTGATTTATAGGAAGGAGTGCCATTCGCAAATCTGAAGTTGTAAATTTCTTCATTTACCTGTACTTTGGTGCTATTTGTTCTGTTTCCGTGTCTCCCAGTACTCTCTGAGGCAAAACTGCCTGTAAAGATCATGAGGCTTGATTCACCGTTGCCTTATGCCATATGCAATCTTTGATATCAGTGAAGTGATGAAAGATGCTAGTGATTCAGAATGATTTCACATACGCATTTGCTCTTGTGTAAGTGACTGTAGAATGTATGGGGCAAAGAGGAGATGTGCCGCGAGTTTGTTCCCTGTGTAAGTGTTGCCTGAATAATTCAGGATATGGCCCAGTGTGTTCAGTATGCGTTGTGTAGACATTCAATCTTTTCTTCGTCCTCAATAACATCATGATGTTCTGCTGCAGTTGTCACTGTTGTCATCAGTGAACCCTCATAACTTTGCTGCAGGATCAAGGAGAGAAGGACATTGAGAGAAGGTTTTTTTTATATTGAAACAGATTTTTTTGTGTATGAGCCAGTACCAAACAGGTAATTAGGAGAGATAACAAGGGTAAATCTATTTTTGTTTAGGTCAGTCCCCTCCTCTGATGTTTTGTCTGTAATTACCTTTTAATGCTGCAGAGAAGTGATGGTACTATATACAAACTACAAGAGGGGAAAATGATTGATATATGGAAGACTAACTTGTGTTTAAATGAGGAGAAAGGATCAGTGTTTTGTTGTGTCTTAAATATGCAGTGAAAGTTTATCTGGTACTAGTTCATGCTTAAAATTCAGAATAAGGAATCATAACAAGCCCAGGGGGTTGCTACAGTGGGCAAGGCTGGTCCAATGGTTAAAAAAAAAAGATCTGGAATCTCATTGGTTTTGTTACCATCTGGGAGAATAATGGCACCACTCTGTATCTTTATTTCCTTCTTTGAAAATACAGTTGATAATGCTTACCTGTGTCTCTGAGGATATAGTGTTGATCTTTGAAAACACGGTAGAAGCCTTGCAGCACTGGAGGACAGCAGAGTAATTAATCTTATTGAAGTTTTCAACTCCCTGCAAGCATAAGCTGAGATTTTTTGAAAATGACCAAAACAAAAGATGATTCTGGAAGACCGTGATGTGGAACCAGGGTGATCTAATGACTTGTTTTATCCCTGCTGAATTAAAATATAGGTAAATCTGTAAAGCATTACTCTGTGTGTAACACATGAATGACCAGACTGGATTAGATCTAAGAAACATGTGAGTAGCTCACACCAGAAGCTTCAAGGAATGACTGGGCTGCCCACTGCCTATGTGGAATTGAATGGCAAGAGGAGGAGTGACTGCAGATAATAGAAGTGGAATTTAAGGGCACAGTCAAAGTGGAAGCAGAAGTCTGGGCTATCCAGTTTCTCACAGCTGGCTAAGAGATGTGACTTCCATTTTCTGCCTATTGAAGAGCTGGGAAAGGAAGGGGTTGCTGCAGTTATTTTAGAGAGATCTTCTGGTTTTAAGGATTTCCTTTAGTCTTAAAAAGCCTTTGATATTTTTGAGTGTATTCTTTTATAGGACTGTCTTTCTCCAGATCATCTCTACCTCCAGAATCCTAATTATTGAACCTCATCTCTCTGCAGTGGGACAAGGCATTGGAAGGTTTTCATTAATTACAAAAAGATTATGAGAGCCATTTGATTGCAATACAAATGGACACATAATGGCACCTGCTAAATAAGATGTAATTCCCACAAAGGAACAGCTACTGTATGCATTTAATTCATTAATATTTTGCTGTACCTTTTATAAATAAAGAGATGCAGATTATAGTTTTAACAAGTTTTTCGGGTTTTGTGTGGATGGACATGTAAAATGCTTTTAAGCACACATAGATAGCATGAATATTTGGTTTCTGTGCAATCAGCTGCTATACTGTACTAGAAGTAGTTTCATTAGTTCATTCTGTACTGCAGTGGAAGTGATTGTATTTAATTCATTGTTCATGTTACGTTTTTGAAGTCCTTCAGAGTTACACTTCTCACCTAAAATACAGACCTGATTCCCAAAGTCTTTACGATAGTATTACTCAGAATAATTTAAAATACAAATTTAGGAATAACCAAGAGCAGGTATTATCTAGAAGAACTTGCAAGTGCTTGCATCCTTTCACAAAGCAACTGAGCTTCAGTCACTTACTATTTTCCTTTGTATCTGCAGAGATAATATTGATTCCAGTAAATTTGCTGGTTGAAACTCTGGGAATATGTGCTCAACGAGGCACAACTCTCATGTTAGAATTTAGAGAATTATGGAAGTGGCTGTTTCATTTTAATACAGATTTAAAATAATTTTTAAGTAGGTTAGTTTTAAGAAATACTGGATTGACTTCTGAAAGTGATATTCCCTCACAGAAGTGTCTTGTGATTACTTGCTGCTAGCTACAGAACTTGATTTTCAGAAGTCAGTCCAGTATTTTTAAAACTTTTTAAGTTCTACAGGTGGCAAGGTGTATTTACAAGGGAATGTACAAAGAAACTTAAAAATGGTAACTGTATTGGAAAGGTATATTGTACTGTACATTGATCTGCTCATACTCTTAATTTTATAGGGATTGCTTAGCTGCAGGCTAGCTGTAATGGAGTGAGATTAAGAGTGAAAAAGTATAGTGGTCACCCAAAGAAGCTTTCTACTCCTGCAGTGGGTAAGGTTCCTGCAATGATTCCTGTGAAAGTCAGAGAAGCAATACTTAAAGAAAAAAACCTTAGACTGCGCTGGATGAACAATTCATCACATTCATAAGAATTTATTATTTTTCCTCTCAGTATCTCAGCCTGATTTACAAATATTAGGCTCATGAAGTACTGTAAGCATGTGTCAGACTCATTACCAGCCTCCAGAAAAGGAAATGTCAAGGGAGCATGGGCAGGGCTGGAAGTGCAAAAGAAAAGACTGGCAGCTATGTAAGTTTGCATTTTGACTCTATCATCAAACAGAAGTGGCTTTGTTTCTTTTTCATTTAAAGGAGGTATTCAGCATCATTGTTGCATACGAAGAACACAGTGCAACTTGTTCAAATTTGAAGTATTCCTTGAACCACTGTGATTCTTTGGGGAATTTGTGATTATATGTAAATATTTTTTTAAATTTAATACTCAAATCTTTTTTGATGTGACTGGCCTTACTTTTGGGGTAAGAAGAGAGGTGTTATGGTATAGAAAACAGTAATTATACTGAAATTTTAAGAGCTTATGTGTGAGGAAACTGTGTGGTTGTTAAGCTGAGATGGTAAAGATTTTTATATCTTCTTGTTACAGGTATAGTTAGTGTTATATTCCTTGTGATTCAGACATCATCTTTAGTCTGTAATAAGTCTGCATATTGTGGTCTTCTGGCTGAAGGTGTCAGTAGTGTGACACCTGACATGTGTTGCTGGGTGTCAGGTTTAGGTTTAATTTTAAAGATAATTTGTGTTAAATGTGGAAGAGTATCATTAAAATATAGAGACAAGTTTTATTTTACTTTATGCTAAGTGCATGTGTGTCAGTGTTCCTCTTCTTCAGTTTAAACTGATCTTTAAAAAATGAATGTTTCAGATTGCCACTATGAAGAAGAGCGAAGGTTGTTTCTGTGCCTTCCCTGAGAAATTCCATATGTTAACTTTTTAAAACTTTTTTAATCACTTGAAGTCTGAATTTCCTTGATTTCATCTTTGTCTTGCAGTGAGATACTGTTCTTGTAAGAATTTTTTCCCCTTAAGGTTTTGATACATCCTCAACTTTAATGCTAGTTCAAACATACTTTGTTCAGAGAAGCTGAAAGTCATATTCCCTTGTTAATAGATTACTGCCCTTGTTCATGCCATAATCGCACCATTTGTAAAATGGGTATAATATTTACCTCTTTTCAGGAAGCTCTTTGAAAAGGTATATAATACTGCTTTCTCTGTATAGAAATAATTAGGTGAGTTTAGTAACTTTTCATTATTTTGTCTTCAAATTTGTAGATAAATATTTTTCTGGCCTCCGCACAAGTTTGGTATGAACTTGCCCTGGAGGTGTCTGAGCTAGAGTTTAGCTCTTCATTGCTGTGGAAGTAGTGCTGGTGTGTGTTATCCCCAATGTTTGGAGTATTCTTATGCATGGTTTTGTTTTAGACACATCTTTAGTCTCTATGAATCATAAACAATGACAGTAATTTTTTTTTTTTCTTTTTGTTCTTGTGTAGTTTCCAGAGGAGGAGTGAAACGTTTTCTCTAAAGCAAGCACCAGAAGTCATTGCTGAGTTCGGAGTTTTTCAGTAGTTTACAAATCTGAGTGTAATGTAGAGATGTTATTCTAATCTAAACCCTGGACATTCCTTGGAAAAAGAAAATCACGTGACTTGATTAGATTTCTCACTTCTCGGCTAGTGGTCAGAGACTAGCAGCATGCTGGAAAGAAGCATTTCCTGGGGAGAGAGCGTCTGATTCATGCTAGCTCACTGCCTTCGCTCGCCATGGAAGTGTTCCAGCATCAGCTACTCACTCTTATTGGGGGTCTGATCTGTTTCTGTACTCTGGTAAAATGCATCAGATTTATGAAATATATATTCCCACATATCTGGAGTGCTTTGCCTCAGACTTTCTTTCGATCGCTGGGAGAATGGGCAGGTAAAAGAAACTTCCTCACCTTCTTCTTCTTGTAACTGAGTGATGGATTGTTACATTACTAATCGGGAGAGGTTTTCCTTGCATTTCCTTACCCTGTCCCTTCAGAACAAAACAGTTTCCACTAAGTGTGGTTTGTTTAATTTCTTTCTGTTTTCTCCTAGTAACTTTGGGTTTATGAGCCTGAAGGTTTTGCATACTTGGAGAGAATAGAAAAATAGTCAAACTGGTAACAGCTCATGCACCTGGTATATAGATGTGAATTCTCTCCCCATTCCTACTTCTGATGTTTTTTCTCTACTGCGAATGCTTTAGTTTTAATAGCATTGCCTATATCCTCAGTTTCCTGATATGTGAAGCAACTAGTTTATGTCTAGCATATGGTCTCCACTCTTCAAAGCAACTTTTCTTTGTTCCTGGTGACTTTGCTCCAGTCTGTTTTTTCCAAATTGGTGACCTATCCTTAATGGTATCATTAACGAGCTAAATCTACTCTAGCCTAAAAACTTCAAAGGCTGCAACTTGGCAGTACTTTTTTAAAGATATTACGCATTCTCATAAAAAACCAGAAATGTTTAATAAACACCTTCTTCTTCCTACTGATCATTGATGTTTTTCTTAAGCTGATTAGATTATCAGTATTAAGCAAGAATGAACAGGTACTGCAGTGTCTGAGTTCCTGGGCTACAGATGTCACTGATGGTGGCATCTTGTTAAGAAGTGACCTGAACAGTACTCTGCTCCTTTCCCCTGCATTAGAGACCTGATGTGTCTGGATTGAGTACATGTTTAATAAGCACATCTCACAGGGGATTAATAAGAAATGAAATCCACCCCTTTGCAGAAGACCTACCGGAATACCAGCTGCTTCTAAAGCAATACACAGGTCTCATTTGGATTTCAGTGAGGCAAGGACCTCCATTCTGTGCGTAAGGTGAGGAGGAGCACGTGGAACTTTCTGTGTAAAATCCTTGTTTCCACTGAAGGCTGAGAGACTTGTTTCCTTCAGTGGACCTTTTATGATCTCTCCTTTTTATAAACATAAAGTCTTCTGGGCCCAGTAAAATTCATAAGGCTTGGATGATTTTCTGTATCACATGGCACATGAGATCCTGAGAATCATAAAAATTAAAGTTGGGGGGTGGAAGCTTGTTTTCCAACAGATTCTTGCTTTTCATCTGCAGGTCTGCTAGAGAGCTAAAGATCCACTGCTGCTCCACTAAGGGAGTCTCTTTTCTCTGTGAAATGAGAGAGTAATTGCTCTACTGTTGGCAATGAACCTAACCATTCAAAATCACCTTGCTTCCCCAATGTCTCTTGCAATTTACAAGTCCTTAATCCACATTTTTTAGATATTGACTCATTTTCAATTTTGCTCTGAAAGCTTATGAGGTTTACCTTGAAATCACTTCAGTGCTTTCCTACTTTATTTATTTCTTCTTTATTTCTAAGGTGATAAGGATTTTCTTTCTAGAGTTCCTCTTTAGGATTAGTTTGCATAACATTTAAAGTTCAGGGTGCTTTACAAATGCCAAAGCTTGTTTACTTTCCTAGTAACACTAAATGTAAAGGTAAAATTAATAGGACAGCTCTGAAGGAAGAACATTTTATAGACGGTGGTAAGTTTGCTGTGATGTTTTCTTATATACAGAATTCTCCTGTGAGAAAGTGTTATATCAGCTTCGGTCACCAGTTAGTCCTTATCACCTACCATTCTGCCACCAACATATAAGTGAAAGACTTGCAAAGTAGAACCTGTAAAAATATGTATATGGAAGAAAGTTCTACCACCTCTTAGGTAATTGACTTGTTGCAGAGCATCTCTCCATTGAAAATATAATAACTACCTACTGCATCAGATAGGTTACTGTGGGGTAGGATTTGCTCTGAAGACAAAATGTGCTAAATGAAGTAACAAAAGGATGAAAAAGTCAGAAGGAAACAGATTTTTTAAAAGATTGATTCTGTGCTGTAGTAGAAGCATTTAGGGTGCAGTGTTCAGGAAACACAGATGATGAAGATTAAAGAATTCAAGAAAGAACAAGCTAAAGCAGAACTATAAATGGAATCCTGATTCTCCTTTTTACTTTCTCCAGTGGTCACAGGAGCAGGAGATGGGCTTGGAAAAGCGTATTCCTTTGAGGTAAGAAAGGTTACTTACCCTTAAGTTTATTTTCACAAAGTGGCAATTGCTACCCCTTCATCAGTCTCTGCAAGTTAGTAAAATTATTCTAGAATTCAAAGCCACTGTGACAAACATGGTACTAATATTTCTCCTCTTGTATGTGCAAAATAACATATCAAGTTAATAATATCATAATACCAAGTTTCTGAAAGAAAACTGGTACTGCATTTCAGAGGAAAGTCATTCATGCTTCAATGGTCTCGTCAGACCAAGGAAATAAAATTGAAACACTGAGTAATCCAAAAGATTTCATATTGTCTGTCCAGGGTAGGAAGTCACCTACATTGTCCTTTTTTACCCAGTTTCATAGCTAATCTGCTTTTTGACTTTCAGTGGGGTGGTCCAGCATTAACACACAAAATGTAATTTTCTAGCCTTTACACTTGCAAAGACATTTTTAAAGATATATCTCAAGCAACAAATGAAGGAAAAATCTGTGTAAATTAATATAAACTACAAGTTACGGCCATTATAAGGAAATCTAATGGTTTAATTAAGAATTGGTAGCTCTAGGAGCCTGCAGGAGGAGACAGTAGCACTGTGCTGACCCTGTAGCTACTGCTGTGCAGTGTCACTACAGCAGTCCTTCTCTATTCACCCATGCTAATCAACGCTGAAGGCAGGGTGGCCTTGTACTGTCTTGTACCAGCCTTGCTATTAGTGATAGTGACTGAACAGTAGATTTTCTCTTTAGTGTCTTCATTCAAAACTGGCTTCCTTTCTAGAAGCTAAACAGCAATGAAACATGAGTTCTTGTCTTCAGAGTTGAGGTGACCAGGTGAAAATGAGCAGCCTATAATGTGCAAAAGTTTAGATGTGATGCGTCCTGCTCATAAATTATAAAATACATCTCACAGGAAAGGAAAATGAGTTTGCTTTTGAATTAATTTACAGAATTTTTAGGCTAGTCTTTTTAAGTGTGTGCATTGTTTAAGCACCTACCTCATGATTTTAATTAGTGGGAGTGGCAATGCAATAACTACCTTTGAAAGTGCATTGAATGTAGGAAGCACAAAGACAAATACCAGCTATTGTAGTTTACCATTTGGCATAGTGATAAATATCACAAGCTCTCCTATGGGAAAGAAGGAAAAATGTTGCCTTCTGTCTACTCAATGAGTTGCTGTAGTGATGAGCAAACAGGAAGGGTCTGATGAATACTTGGGTCAGGGGGGAATGGGATGGGAGCAAGACAGGGAGAGGAAACATCAGAAATGCTTAAAACTTTATTTAGCACCATGATTCTTGGTGTAGTCGCATGCACATGCAGCTTGCTGAACTAACTTTGTGTGTGAGCACCTGGTGATATTTAATCCTTGTGAAGGCTGCAGGCACCTGTGAATGTCTAAATCAGAGCCTCTCTCATTGTTCTGCTTCCTTTGTTCTATATAGGTTATGCAAGACTAAATCCCATCTAAAAGGCCAGTTATAGCATGCAAATGGCTGCTTTACACCATGAGAAAAATTTAAACAACTACTGTGTTGTTTCTTTTTTTTAAAACTTGGCTGGAACTGGCTAGATTTTGTGGAACATCTGTTCATTATTTTTGGCTTTTGTGGGATGACTGAGATCCATCTTTATCCCTGTTGAAACGTACCTTCCTCCCCAGGTGGTCCCTTTGATTGAAGCTGTGCTCAGCTACTGCTCTGTGGGGCAGATCTCAAGCCTACACCACATGAGCTCATAGCTTGGCATGTCATCTTGCTGGCTGAGGTCGAAGCACACACTTGTGAGTGGCTTGTGGGTAAATAAATCTGACCCTGCTGTTTTAATGTCTGTGTACCTTTGGAGTTTCTGGCTCAGCACTACTGTCTTGCTGGTCTGATGTCAGGGTACAAAATTCTCTGATGTTCTTCTGGCGTAGGTCCCTCTGGTGTTATGGGCTGATGTGAGGGCAAGCCTTGTTTGAAGGCCACAGTGTCTGTTCTAGAGTTAGAGCTCTGACACAAGGTGATGAATCTCTTTCTGACATCCTGAGCTCAAGCACGGGCTGATAATGAATCACAAACTAATATAAGTGCTCCACACTTGTTGGTAGTATATCGTATAGGAGACTAAGGAGAGCAGGTTTTGTGTTTTGGAAGGCTAGTGTGATGTGGCTTTCTCTGTTCAGTGTTTTATGTGGAAATCCCAGTAGGTGGTTCATTGGGTAAAACCTAGCACACTGAGATCCAGGGCAAGATCACAGTATTTACTGGTTCAGTACCCTTGTTTTCAAGGTTTATGGCTAAATACAGGCCTCTGCAAAGTCTGTGAAGCTCAAGAGCTGAGTGGGGCTGAGTGAAGACCCCGGCAGCTGTGAGGTCTCAGAATACTACTTTGTTGATGTCAGGGCCCAGATTTGTCAGAGCAAATTATTGTCCCTCTTTTTTTCTGAGCTTGTGTTGAGAGGCAAGCACACATACAACTTGAGCTTATCCTCTTCTGCATGGAAGTCCAGGCTTCCAAGAAGTCTCTGTCTGTATTTCTAGCATGTCAGGGTGCTAGAATTTGAACAACTGGCCTTCTTGAGCATAAAGACCCCAACCTTTTAACTGACGGCTGTGATGTCAGAGTACTGGGATTTTGGATCTAGTTTGCTATACTTATTTCAAAAGCCAGGTTTCTATTAGATTTGGTCCATTAGTTCTTGGGCTGATGGGTTTAGATTCACCAGACTTATAACAAGGAAGAAAAATAAGTCAACTGTGAGTGTGCTGCCAGGCTGTCACATCTCTCATCATCTGTTAGCATTTCAGGTACTGGTACAGTCTTGTTTGTTCTGTTTTTCTTATGTAATAACTGCAGGTGTGCTTTAGCATCTGTTACTGGCTTAGCACCTCAAACATACTGGGTTATGGACAAGGCCATACCATACTCTGAGACTTACGGTTTAGCCTCTGCACACTTCTCATCTGATATCAGAGCACAAGCAGGATGTTGGTGGCTCACCTGGTCACTATTTTTGTTATTGTTAATCGTTCATAACTCTCTTATAAGTCAGGCCAGTGGTTGTGTCTAAATCAATATTTTAGCAGACCATTTTGAGACAGGCACTGTATTCATTTATTAATACAACAGTTTCTCAAATCTTAAACCTTTGTTTCATTTCCTGAAATTGTGCGTAGTATTACCAAAAATATAATACAAGCTAAATATGATCTGAGTTTTCCTGCTCCAGTTGCATATGTAGTCTAATTTCTCCATTTGGTCCTGGATTTACTCCTGGAAATGCTGCTATTCCACTTGTGTTGCACAGGTGCAGAGCTAGCAGAAAGCTTGCAGAATCCTTCTGCCCTGTTGTCTCAGTCCTGGTCAGCTGGACCAAAAAGGGTTGAAAGATTTGAATCATAGAGACCTTACAGGTCTGAACCCCACGCAAGGAAAGAAAAGGGGTGAAGCACTGAGGCATATCAGTACAATCGTGCGGAAGACAGAAGAATCTCTTTTGTAATAGGTAGAAATTTATGGTAGGCAGCTAAAGATTCCATAAAGCATTATTAGGGATTTTAATTTAATATATCTAATGATCCATGTAGGGTATAACCAATTTTTCAGTGTAGCACGCATGGTTTGAATCTAACACCTGTATCTTGCCTTCCATGAAGCTTTATTGTTTAAAAATTCACCTCAGACTGAGCTGCAAAAATGTGCTAGAAAATGCATGGTGACTTTATACTAATTTAATATTGGTTTAAACTTCTTAACAAGTTTGTGAGATTCCAGAGTGCAGATCCTACTTGATCTTTCTTCATTATTAGCCCCATTTCTAAATGCTAAGTTGTCATAATTCATTATGGCTGGAGTTGGTAATAATGATCTTACATTTTAGCAGTCTGAGGGGGTCAGCAGCATTTTAGTCCTTTGCCACTGGGAGTCAGGATTTCCTAACACAAGCAGCCTCACATTATGCTACTGGGAGCCAATGCTTATTCTTAACTATAAGGGGAAATACCATCCTCTAACACCAAAGACTTTTTATTTTATGAAAATGCTTTGTGCTAAGGACATCTACGCTAAAAGTTATGTATTTGAAATTTGGTAGTGTTAAAACTGATTTAACCTTTGCTGTAGATGGCCAGGAAATTCTTTTCTAAGCACAGTTCTTTTTGTTTGATTGAGGGTCATACAAAACCTATTTCTGAAAAGGATGCACATTTCTGTATGGGTGAGGAAGGAAAAACGGGTAGTCAGGTGTGTAGCCTTATAATTCTGGTTAGTCTGGTATACAGCAGCAAGGGAGAGTCCTCTCCTGATGGTTAACAGTTTTATAAGATTGCCACAAACATGTGCTTTTAGCTGAAATACAATGCAATCTTAGCGATAGGAATCATTTTTTACCTAGGTTTTAGGAGACATAGCCGAGATGATATTGAGAAGTCCAGTGAAGCAGAACTTTGGGTATATTCTATATGTGACATGGCTGATATTTGGTATTGGGTCTGAAGGCACAAAAATTAACATAATCCCCATCTGAACACCCCAAAATGGCACAAATGAGCAAGTGACCATGGAAATGGAGGCCATGTCTCTGATTGGAAATGGCTTGAGTCAAACTCATTGTGGACAAAGGGAAATCTGCTAATATGTAGGCAATTAGTGTTCTCTTCCAGAGAACTTAAAATGGAGCCCTTAAAAATAAGCTTTCGAAACTCCCGAGTGTCTTAAGTCTGTGTAGGTCTCTTTGGAGCACCCGTCAATTATGTGAGAGAGTCTCCAAAAGCACAGAATTGTGAGCATGGTCTTTGTGCTAAAAATGCAAATGGCTGTGTTGTGGCTGATACATTTAATAGATGGTCTGCCCCTCATACTCTTGATGTAGCGAATTTTTGAACAAAGGTCCTTGTTCCTTAACATTCTCTACATTGTTTTAGAAGACCCAACAGGACAAACTGTTTCCCTTCAATAGGTTTAAGGAGAAAGTGTTGCAGAGAGTGAGCTATGGAAATGAATGGGTCTTCAGTGTGTGGGCTTCACCAGTTAGTTTCTTCTTCTAAGCAAACCTGGTACTTTCAGATAATGTTGGTTTTATCTTTTGTGCTGACTAATTTATCTCTCTTTCTCCTTGCTCTCATGGGCGTTTTTCTAGTTTCAGCTTCATCTTTCCTTTCTTTATGCACACAACTCCGTTCAGCTTCCACTTGTTAATAACTTAGTTCCACAAGCTGGGGCCATGTTTCTCTCTCAAGCTTTGCCTAAAACTCTTTAACTGATGGGAATGAGAGGCCTCGGAAAAACAGGAGAAAAATGTTCTCTATTTGTTTTGCATTTGTTCTGCATGTGGTAATACCAAACTGACTATAAACAGACTGCTCTGTTAAATAGTGTTTGCAGCTATAAACTTCAACTATCACCAACATCTTTGTTGATGTACATTTGTGTGACTGTATTTTGAATTTTTATGCATGGACTTCACCTTTTTTCCTTGATTTCTTTTTTCTTTTTTAGTTTGCATCTCATGAAAAAAACAGTTAAAATTTATCCATCTGACCTGCATGGGATTTTATTTCTATTAAAACAGTATTAATAAAGTCCAAATCTTTTCAAACTCTTGAGCCTTCAATTCAATATTCTTAATCTACTTCCTCAGGATAAAAGAATGTGAGGGTGGGAGGTGATGTTGTAAAATGACTAGGAAGTCATCAACATATTTGGCCTCCCAAATCCAAGTTGAAATAAAAATGTGTTTCTGGGAAATGTCATGTTGCCTTTATTCCCTGCAGACTTTCATTCATTTGAAATTGGCTCAGATTATTTATTGTTGTTCATATTATTGGGGTTTGATTGTTGTCCAGTATATTTTTCTTGTAAGGGTCCAAGATTATACAGTGAAGGAGATATTTTGGAAGACTGTTAGAAGCCTGAGTATTGTTTGGCCTGGTGGTAATATCTGGTTTTTTCCCATTAGGCAAGCAGCAGGTGAATGAAAGCAATTATAAAAAATCCATGATTGTTTTTATTGCAAAACTGGAAAAATGCTAAAGATTCTTGTCACCGTACTGTTTTCTAACAACTTTTATATTCCTCTCTTGTAGCTGGCAAAGCGTGGATTAAATGTAGTTATGATAAGTAGAACTCTTGAAAAACTGCAGAAAGTAGCTTCTGAAGTTGGTAAGTGTTTCTCTCAAGCTTACCTTCCCATTTAGCAGGCTGGCTTTACAGGGATCTGGAGGTCTATTTCCTTAGTAAAGTATCTAGTAGGGTAGGTCCCCAGATATTGCTACAGATGTAGCCGCAGGTATTGCTCCAATACTAGCTCCAATACTACAGATAATTTCCGGTATTACTGCATTACTTGAACCCTTCTGGTCATGAATCACTTTAAAAATACATGCTATAATTCAAACGGTGCAATAGGTTGGATAAAAAAAGTGAATGTGTGTTCTTTACTGGCTTCAGCTGCCCTTAAAATCTGTAAATACAGGCAAAGGAGATACAATACTGGAGTTGTTGGAGGAATCTATGAAACAGTTTATGCTTGGGATAGAAAGGTTACCTTTAGGCTAGTCCTTGGAACATAGCAGAGTAGTAAAAATGAAATCAATGTACTTTTTTTTTAAGGTTTTCAAGTTAAATTTGGCTTTTGATAAAACAGTTAAACAGTGTGTCTTTAGAATTAATGTTCCCTTTCTTTTCTTCAAAGGAGATTAGCCATTTACTGTGGGGAAGATTACGTTAAGATTGTCAATTGGGATTTCTTTAGGAGTCAAATGAGTTTATATCCTCCATTAACTTTAAAGATTGATGTAATCAAGGTTCTTCCCACTGTCTCTTTTTCTATTCATGGCTTCTATCCACCAGTTTACTTGACTCACAGGTTGCTGTGTTAAGCATGTGCCCTCCAAGACTACCCCTCTGTCAGAAAGACTTGCCTTTAAGCAGCCTTGGCATCTGGCTCCAACAGAGTATCAGGTCCAGGATACTTATCTGCAGAGACACCAGTACATCTCTCAGAGATGTGGCAGACTTGAAGTGGGTGAAAAAGCCTGTAACTTCTGAACCTGCAGCTACCAAAATCAAGGCTTGGACTCTGAATTTTTCTGTCCAATTTCCCTCCCTTTTTTTCCAGGGACAGACTTGTTTTCTGTTGGAAAGCAAGGAGTATCAGAGGAGGAAAGCACCAAATCCCTGAATAGTCTCTATAGGCAGCCATATCCATGAGACCGATGTGACTATGGCCTACACTAGCCCCTCTTAAGTAAACAGCCATAAAAAATTAACTTCTGTGGGAATCAGGCCAGCTCTGGTGTCATTCTTGCATTTCTTTGCAGCTAAATGTTGACGAATTAAAATAATAGAAACCTGGGAGGGAAAAAAGGCTAAGGAGTTTTTATAGTTTCTTTGCATTGTAGATTATAATCAGAAGGAAAGAATGAAAACAGTAAGATTCCCGAGACTAACATAGCTAAATAAAGGAAAAAAGTGGTGAAGCCTAGAAGGATAACATACTGTAAATTCCTTTGCACTATGATTTATTATAAGGCCATCCATGGGCCCCCTTCCTAATTGAGGCCATACTGTGCTGAGTTGTGTAGCAACACGTAAAGGACTTGCCCTGTCCAGAAAGGTACTGCTGAGATAGCCTACAAACACTCCTATGTCTTGTGCAAAAGTGACCCGTGACTTTTTGCACGTGAGGGAGCTTCCCTAACTGCAGCAGCACTATCCATGTAATCCAAGGTGCGAGGAGGTGGATGGTGTGAACCCAGGAGCTCAGCCTACAGCAATCAGGTTTCCGTGTCATGTTCAGCTGGGTGGTGGGCATAAAGAGGTTTCCCAAAGCTTGCTGAAATTGGTGGCAAATCCCAGTGAGATCTTTCCATTGTTTTCAGTGGGTTTTGGCTGAAAGCCCAGGGTGACTCATGTGTTACTTATTGTGTCAGGTTGGAAATGAGTACATAACAACAAGTAGATGGCACAAACAAAAGGAAGGAGAGGAAAGTGATGAAAAGCACAGAGTATCTGATCTGGAGGGCAGTAAAATCAGCAGGGAGATCTGGATGTGGGTTTGTGTTACAGCTTTGGAAATGTTCCACTGATTCTAATTTGCAGACTCAGGCTTTACTGTAATTAAGATAAGCAGTCATTGGGAAGGAAGAAAAGTTAAACTTACTGTGATTTTATGTGAGTAAATAAACAACAGAAACTAAAAATGAAGCAGAAACTTAACCAGAATGGTTTTACTGTTTTCTAAATTTTCTAATTCTCACTGACTTTTTCTTTCTACACTGCTTAACCAAGCAGTGTCTTGCTCCAATCGGTTATCATTACCCTGAACTAACATGCAAGAAGGTTAAGGCACAGAGAGAGAGAGACAAAAAGTTTGTTGTAGGCTGTGTAAATTTGGTGTAGGACTGGTCGCATTACTCATGTTTCCTTTTTTTTAACAGCTACATCATATATCATTTTCCAATCAGTAGGACACCATAATTAAAAGACTTGCCTCCCTTTTCAACCTGACAATATTATTTGCCTAATCATACTGTCACATTCAGTTTGGATACTGAATAATGTAAATGAAAGAGGTCTAAAGTGTGGATAATTCCACAGACCTCAGTGTTTGGCTTTCAAACAGTCCCGTGGACCACAGGTGTGCCTGCAAACTGCTCTCAGAGCTCCAGCAGGCAGAAATCCACCATAAGAAAAACATTTCTCTAAAGAAGCACTGGAATTGAAAGCCAGATTTCCATCCACTCAGACAGCAAAGCTCTTTTAGAGTGAGATAGAAGATAATAAAGTAAGTCTTGTGGAGGGCAGACAGAGGGGACCATTACACCAGGTATACTGTTCATTTAACACGTATAGTATTGTGGTTGTGCAACATTGATCAAACCATAAAACCAGAAGATTAGAAATTATGGAATGCTACTAACTGCACTCCTTTTTTATTTCTTCTGCCTACACTTCCTAAGCAAGCTGTACAGATGGAGCTAGGTCCTGATTGAAAAGTCATACTTTAGGATCTATTTGTATGACCAGGATCTGTACTGTTTAGCTATTAATGCGAAACAAACAAAAGCCACTTCTGTAAGACATAAAAATTATTCACTGGGGTTTTTTGGGTTTTAGTTGTTTTGGTTTGGGGTTTTTTTTGAGAAGAAAAAAAATCTGTATTTAAGGAAAGATAAGGTGTGTGATCCTCAGAAAGCAGCAGTAAATACAGCTGCACCAGTTTAAACTAGCTGAGCATGCAGTTCATGCTTTCGGGTTTGGTGAAATCATGTCTGTTAGTATAGAATAAAGCAGTGAACATAAAAATCACCCCACAGAATTGTCAAGAACCAAATGTCTTGCTCCCACTAAGACCTGTAAAGGTGCTAATTCATTTAGCTGTGCCCCCTGCTGCAGGTTCAGTTTCCAGTCTGTTCTACTGTGTCCTCCACCCCTTGTCCTTCCAGAGCTAGCTCCGAGAGCTAAGCAGGTAACAAGCTGAGATCACTGACTAGCATAAAACAACTCACTTGGCACATCCTTCCTTCGTCCTCAAAAGATGTAAAAAAATGCCTGTGTGTCTTGCTGATCACTTGAGGTAAAGCGTTATTGCTCAGTGCTGTTCTCCCAATATGCACCTCTACATAACAGAGCGCTTCAGGGCCTTGACCGATGTTCTCAGTGCTCTGGTAACTAGTAGCAATTCCCGTGTATTTTTGCTCACTGAGTTTGTGTTCTCTGGTCTCTTCTATCATCTTTTGCAGTTCTGCTTTTACAGTAGTTCTTCTTGTTTCTTCTCTATTTTTCTGTTGTTTCTGAAACTGAGTTATCTCATATTTCTGAGGAGATACATTTCTCCAAAAGACTTTTGAAATGTAGCCAGAACTTGTGCTTTATAGTCTAACAGAAACTTTTATCTTTGTCCCCAGTCTTAAATCTTTTTTAAACCTTTCTGTTATTAAAATAACTTTTCATTTTGCTCTCTTCTCTGCAAATTTCCACTGAATATGAATGCCATCTTTCCGTGAGTGCTTCTTTCTTCATATTCAAATTTTGTTATAGTACTTCAAAAGGGACTCCTCTTTCTACAAAGATCAGTTCTTCTGTTGCTCAGACATTCATTTTGCTACCTCAGGTTTTCAGAAGATCTTCATAACTCTCTAAACAGAAAAGGAGTTTCTGGCAGACTGCATGTCCTAACCAACTTTATGCTTCATCATGATTTATTCTCCTCTTGGTAAATTTCAAAAGGCAGCACATTATCCTATCTGACAAGTGGGATTCCCAAGTGATCTGAGATCAGAGGGAGTTAGATGTTTCCTTCTTAATGATGCATTTTATAACACATTGGATTAAACAACTCCGTTAAAGTTTTTAATTTTCCTTAAATTGGTTTTCTCTTCATTTTTTAAAAATACAATAACCTGTTCTGATGTTTGAAAACCTAGCTTTTTGCTTCTGGCACACTTAGGACTTTTAAAAAGGGGTGGAATGGCTTGTGTCTTCAATGACTGTCATAAATATTTGTCACAGAGAAGGAGAGACTTAAGAAACATTGGAAATTATTTTTTGGCTCTCTCCTTTGCAGAATTGTTATCATTTTCTGAAGAGCTATCCCTGGATAATTCATTTTTCAGCATGATAGTTTTATTGTTTTTTAATACATTGTTTTATTCTTAAATGAGACAGAGGAAAGCCATCTGGAGTACTTGTTTGTTGGCTGACAGTGCTGGTTGCAGCACTACAGTTCTGTACAGACAAGGGGATGCAGAGAAAGTCCAAATGGTTTGTTTGATCCTCATTTTTATGTTGCTCTAGTTTTGGCTGCCCTTCTCATTGCCCGCAAGAAAGATGGCCACAACATCACTACACTTTTTAAGACCATCTCGTTTTGTTTATAGAGCTCTTCACTCAGAAGGTCACTGTAGGTGTCTGCTCCAGCTGTTGCTCTGTTCTTTCCCTTCACTGCATTTACACTCACAATGTCCTTTTCTTTATAGTTCTACCATTCCCCCAGCCGGGGACCACTAGGGGGTCATTTGCCACTAGAGCTGCTTTTATAGGTTGAAGGTTCAAAGGGTGTTTTGTCCCTTTCATACACACAACTGCAGCTTGGAAAGAGGGCAAGAAAAAGAGCACTCCTTCCTCCTTTCTTCTGCCATGGAGACAGATGTCCTCTAAAATTGCACGCAAGACGCAGCCCACATTTCAGATCTGGAGTCAGAGCATCTGCGGTTTCTGAAGATCACTTGTGTTACTTGGGTAGCATAAAGTGGTCAACACTTGCAGTGTAGCAAGGGGACAAGGAGGGAACAACATCCTCTCACCCTCCAATGCAGGTGCTGTTTTGTTGCAAACTGTCCTGCTGGACCAAAGCCAGCTTTCTGCCAGCCTTGCTCTCCTGCAGGAGCTGGTGCAAGGCCTCTTCCTAAATTCTGAATGTATGCAAGGGATGAGGCAAGATTTCTGGGTAGAAATTAGCGAATATGATTCCTATTAAAAGCAATGCTCCCTGTTACTTGTATGATAAAATCAAGCTCCAAACAAGCAGAGGTGGTTTCCCAAACAGGACCGAAAGCAGACTTTCTGTCATCCATGTGCACCTGAATTCCTGCCACTTGCAGCAAGTCTGCAATCTAATTGTCTACTGACATTTCCAAGCTTCGCTTGTCACTTTTTCAGCAAACTTCATCTGGATTTCAGGTTGCCCATAAAACTTGAAAGCAGGTTTAGTAGCAAGAATTTACAATGTGAACATCTAGTTAGAAGAGACCTTACTGGGCCCCTTTAAAGGAGAACCTTGCCTTTAAAATGAGTAAATAAGAGCCTCTACCTCTTTTTCTCGTGAAACTTCATTGAAAATATGAACAGCAATAAATCAACTGCTGAGAAAAATGGTTATGTACAGCTGGGCTCCACTCCTGCATAGCAATGACACTGGAAAAATCATACACATTTCCCTTTCCCTTCTGTGTAAATTGACGTTGTAAAATTTAAGCTATACCCTTCCTTAAATGCCTTTTAGTTCTGCAAAATCCTGGGGAAGGTTCAGTCTATGGGAGTGCAAATGTCAAAATAGGAGAGGAAATGTTTGAAAATAATGCAGAAAATACTGCATCACATCCAGCCCTGTTTTCCCCTCCTCCCACATGAAAAGATAAGCACTGCTTGTTAAAATGTTCATCTTATACATGAAAACACTTTAAAACAATTCTGCAAAACTGTGCTTATGTAGAGGATCTGGCACCCACATTCACTTGCCTAATGTATGCTGACAGTGTTCATTTATAAATGTTATGATAACCAGGGGAGGAAGTTCTGTGTTGTTTATTTCTGCGTTTTTTTTCTTACTGAAGGACCAAATGGTGTTTAGATTTTGTGAGGGAACTTCCATTGATTTCAGGGCATAAATTCATTCTGTATTTGCCAGGCCATTTTCTTGAAAACAACTGGGTACAGTGAGAGTGTTTTGCTTGTGTTTTGATCTTTCTTAAAGCAAGAAAGTTGAAACAATTGCTTACTGTATAGCAGACATTACTAAATGAGACATCTGATTGTTTCTCTCATTACTTAATCACAGCTCTCCCTCTCTCTGAGTAAATGCAAAGGAGTTTCTATTTTTTTTTTCTTTAATTACAGAGCAGGCCACAGGTCAAAAGGTGAAGGTTATACAAGCTGATTTCACCAAAAATTCAGTATATGAGAACATTGAAAAAAGTCTGCAAGGCTTGGATATTGGTGTTCTGGGTGAGTCACTAAGGTCTGTTAATTGAAGAGTACTTTATGGCTGCAGTGTATTAAACCAAGATAATTCTTGGTTTAATATCGAGATGTATCATAACAACTTGTTAGGCAACACTTAAAACCAAGCATACAGCTGCCTAATGCATTTGAGCCTTAGTTATCATGAATAAGTTTTAAAAGTGAATTAAGATTCTCCGAAGGCATCCTGTTTCTCTGTACAGTAGCTTCTTTACTGTGAAACCCCTTCTGCCGCTTTATAAGCAGCATCCAGCTTGTGGGGTGACTTCTTCCCTGTTTGGCCTCAAGGAATTAGTTTTCAGTATTGGTTGTTTTATAGCTGTGTGCAATTCTTATATTCAGTCTGAAATGAGCCTGTGGCTAACCCTAGTTGGTACAATCCACACAGCAACAATGAAAATGTGTTTTTTTGGGAAGTTCTGGGGTTTTCTTTTTTGTGAAGAAAATCATCCTTTTAATAGTGAAACAAATGAAACAACAACAACAAAACACAAACAAACAAACAAAACCCCAAACTGTAGCAACAGACTGTGTTTCTGTTCCCTGAAGTCAGTACTGATCGGTACTGATGACTTCAGTGAGAACCAGACTCAATGCTAAACAACATTTCTCTTCACATGGAGCTCAAAAGCTTCCGAGTCTCAAGGAGAAGCCATATGTTTAACTAGCTGAACTATGCACTTTGTCTAAATTTGGTTCTTATCATTGTGTTTCCTTTGGTTAGTTAACAATGTTGGAATGCTTCATAATCCTCTTCCATGCCGTTTCCTTAATGGACCAGACATAGATGAGGTAGGATTACTCTGTGGGTTTCTACTTCCAATATAACAATGAGGAGCTGTAATTCCACTCAACAAAGGACAGATTCTGCCCCTGCTACAATCAGCACGTATTTAACTGTTCAGCTGAGTGGGAAAAGAACTGAGCCTGAAGGAACATATTTTGATTTGGTTTTAATGCTCAGAAGAGCTTTCAAGAGAAAAAGAACAGTAGATCTCAGGTAACTTGCAGCCAGAACTCAGCAATAGAGGGGAGAGCGCAGCTGGCCTGGTTGTAGCGGGGATCAGCAGCCACTCTGGCTCACTGCTCATCTGTAATGTAATGGAGTCCAGCCTGGCCACAGACACAGCTGAAGTGTTGGGTTCTTGTTAGTATTATTAAAACTTACTTTCTTTGGAACTCCATTGCTTAAGTACATGAAAAAATGAAAAAAAAAAAAATCCACCTCATTTAAACAGTTTGCTTTGGGGGGGGGAGGAATTAATTTACACATGTAGAACAGTTTGACAGGATTAAGGATGTGATCAAGTTTTTCATTGCCTTATTGTTATTTACTTCTACAGTATTAACCAAGAAAAAAACCAGAGTTTCTAAGTATGTTTCTTGCTAGTACCTGTCTCAGGTATACAGTCTGTATATCATCATCTACTGCAAACAAGAGATCCCCGAGCAGGCTGCTTCCCTCAGAGCTGCAGCCATACGGTGGCACCTCTGCTGCTGCTATGGCTTGTGTTTGCTTGCTGGTCTTGGGAGCATGTCTCTACGTGGCAGTGCTTTTGCTGCACAGTCTACCTCTGTCACTGGAGCCACTCAGTCTCAGCCTGGTACCTCTGTAATTTGTTGTCTGTTTGCATCCAGCTTGATTTGCTGGTGCTATCACTGCCTGGCACCAGCCTTCTGGGTTTCGCCACATGCAAAGACGTGGCCGGGCAAAACGGAGGGCACAGAGTCAAAGGGGTGCAAAGCAGATTTGAATGCCGTGTTTAAAATAAAATTAATCAGTGCTCACCTGCCTTTGAGTATCCCACGTCATAGGCACAGTCAGTGACAACTGGAGGCAAGCAAAGCAGCTCTAAAAGCAACTGCCTTGCTAGAAAGCTTTTCAGTTGGAATTGCTAGCTTTGTCACCTAGGTAAGCTACAAATTCTGTGAAGTTAACTATGAACTTACTGTTTTCTTGCTTCCTGCAGAACCTTGTCAACTGCAACATTATTTCTGTTATAAAGGTATGTGACACACATCTATGTTACATCTGTAATTATTTTATTGGAAAAAAATCAGTCCCACACAAGAGTGACGAACTAGCTTTCCTGTGTATTTTCATTTAATTTATCTGCAGATAGTAATTTTCAGCAGG